TTAAATATAAATTTTTGTTAAAAATCTGAATACATTGGCTATGTTCCTTTGAATTAAAACAGATGAGATGAGATTCTGTGGCACTGTACGATAGAAAGCATCAACTGTTAAAAGCCATAGTTGCTTTCTTCTTAGGGATGCTTCCAGTTACTAAATTTCCCAGTAGCTCAGCTTCTATTTAAGTAGACCCTAATCTTTCAGGGTTAGTTTAGAAATGAGAAGAAACTAAAATGATGATGGATGCCTGTATTCTCCATTACCAAAATCAAGATTGGTCTAAACCAGGGGTGGGGAACCTGTGGCCCTCTAGGTCCTTGAGTGCAGCCTTTTGACTGAGTCCAAGTTTTACAGAACAAATCCTTTTATTAAGGGGATTTGTTCTGTGAAGTTTGGATTCAGTCAAATGGCCATACTTGAGGACCTAGAGAGCCATGTGTGCCCTCGAGGCCACAGGTTCCCCACCCCTGCATCTAAACACTGACCTTCACTTTTGAATGGTCTGATCAGAAGTGGACAGGTGAAAATATTCTGTTCTTGATTGTCCTTTGGCCAGGGATGCTTACAGACTGCAAATGAAGTGCCAACAGCAGCAAAATCTCACCCCCTCCTGATAGTATAAAGTCAGCAATGGGTATTCTTTGGCCAAAATGGCAAATTCAGCAGGAGCTTTTCAATAGGGATTTGCAGCATCTTTACCATAGCTGTCAAGAACCTTATTCAGCAGTGTTTTTGAAAATCTACTTCTGTGTAAAAGTGACTGTATAAAAATGACCATAGTTGTGTTTAAAAGTATTTTAAAGAAATCCAAATTGTGAATTTCAACAGTACTTATTTTATGGTTAACATAAGCAAGGACTTATGTACACATCCATATATTCAGCATTCATATGTTTTATAGTAGTTCAGAATTTTATTTCCATATTAACATAAAGCCTTCCAAAATGCCTAGCTTTGTAAAGTCAGTTCACCATACAAAGCCACCATACATCACTTAGGTCTGTGATGAAAGAATGGAATTGCAGCTGTGTGAGTACTAGAATACCCAAACATGAATTAAACTCACAAGCATTTGGCAATAGTTCAAAAAAAGAGCTTAATCTGGTTTCATCTGAGACTGCTTTTATCTGTTCTACAACATCCCCCCATGATGTTGTGTCTGATATCTGATACAACGTAATGGGAATGACGTAAAATTAGAGAAAACCCTAAGAAACCTAAAGAAGTTTCCCTTGTCTAAGGAATTTATTTTCAGCCTGCAGTTTTCAATCTTGAAATTCAAGGTCATTCACCTATTAGATGAATTAATTATAAACCAAAAAAAAATCAGTACTTATTTTTACTCTCATCTCCCTCATATTTATAATTAAGGGTAAATACAATAGTTTTAAAGAACTCTGCCACCCACTCAATATATTTAAAGCACCAGTTGAAATGAAACATATAGTTAAGTGCAAGATGATTTAAAAGTTGTTAGCTCAACCTTGAAGCAGTTTGTTCTATTTTTTATTACCATTCAAGTATTAATTTGAAGTATATTCTCCTTTTCTGTTACTCAGGTTTAATTCATGATTTCATTTCCTGTTTGTATAGAGAGTTCAGTGGCTGATGTGAGATTTGACAAAAGCTTTGTGGGTGGGGCTAAAATAAAAAGGGGGCAAGGTTGGGAGCAGGTTAGAAGCACAGTCAGCCCCAGATCCCATGTAGCAAACAAACAAACAAAAATTCATACTGACAAAGAGCCCTGCAGGATGCCTGAATGTGGCACATGGGTTGCTATGCTAAGATTGGCTCTTTGCTGTGAAATGAAAAGCATGAAAACCTGACTGATAAATTCAGCTCATTTGATTCTTGGTTTTGAAGATTTTAAACAAAATTGAAACTGTTTTACTATGAAGGAAAATAGGGGCCCCATTAAGGGGATTTGCTTTATCATTTTAAAGACTGTTAAGCAGAATGCAGCACTATGACTTTAAGATTTACAGGTTAGCTCTGAGAGATGCAACATCTTGTTTCCAGTATTTCCTGGCAGAATCTGGCAGCTTAGTGGTGGGACCCAACATAACCACAGAACATGAGCTTGCACTATGTGAAAAGCTAGAACCATCCTAATCCTATTTAAGGCAAGGATTAGAATGTTACTTCAAAAAACTAGAATTGGCACATATGAGCTTAACTTTCAGACATGTTTATTAAAAGTAAATAAATATGGTCTTCTGAATACAGAAAATCAGAAATTTTATTCAAAATTTGAAACTTGATGCTATTCAATGTAAAAATTATATTTTAGGTATCAGATTCTTTCTGGAGTATACTAATACTTTAATTGTGCTTTTTAAAAAAAATCTTTTCCTTTGTGGCAGACATTTAGAAATCTCTTGTATGCTGAACAATAGTAACTACCCATTGTTCTATTTAAACATATTTTACAATGATATATATATATGTATGTGTGTGTGTGTGTGTGTGTGTGTGTGTGTATATATACATATATATGTATGTATATACATATATGTATATATGTGTGTATATACATATATATGTATATATGTGTGTATATACATATATATGTATATATGTAGACAGAGAGAGAGAAAGTGTTTTCATTTTCCTTAGTGGAGTCCTGAGAGTGGCCCCCTTAAGTGTGTGAAAATACTTGCATATGTCACTTAGAAAAATGCCTGTTGTTTTAAAGAAAAACAAAGACTTTGAAAAGAAAGAAACTGGAGGTTGCTATGACAAGGATGGTCAAGTTTAGGGCCACTAAACAAGGGCCATAAATACTTTTTAAAGTGAGATCTGTTCTTCTACCTATATAATGAATATATATGAATAGGACCTGGAATACTAGACTGTTAATGACTCTCACTTAAAGTAGCAAGAATTTGGAACAAGTGCAGTGATCAAAATACCTTTTCATTTTACTCTTTCCACACACTTATGCACAGTTCTGTTGGGTATGCTTCCCAAAGTAGAGCATTTATCTATATGCAGAACTAGCTGTATTCTTACCAGTAGAAAACATTTATGACTAACCCCAAGACTGAACTAATAGCCAAACTTATTTTAGTCATATTTCTTACCTCTTAGGGTGAGAAATTTATTACTTCCAGAAATTCTAGAGACGCTTCTTTGATTTCATGAGGCTACTTTCTGATTTATGGTACAATCCATATTTGGATTTGTCATTGTACAACATTTGGCTTTTCTGTAAGGATAGAAGTGAAGAAACTGTGTGAGAAAGGAAAGTATGCAGATGCCAGGTGTGTTAGCTGTGTGGTAAATAATTAAAATACTTTACTACAATTTTGAGCTAGCATTCCAAACATGAGATTTTATTAAAATATGTTTTATTAGATGTTCTATGACAGATTAAAAATAGAATCAGTAAAAGAGAATGTCAATAATGATTAGTTTTTTAATTATGTCTCATACACATAAAAAACTCTTGAATTGAAAAATTGTCTTTATGATATTTAACTATATGGTCATGGAAAAGGTATGTTTTAATTTCTGATTTTCCAGCTTATGGGTCATATTTGACCAACTGCTTTCACTAGAAGACATGCCACTTTGTTGAGCTATTTAGGAATCAAAAAGACTGTCTTAATTTAAAACAAGGACCCTTTGTTTTAGTTGGTGACTGCCTTGTGAAATTTTTCAGTTCTCAGCGGGTTAACCAGGGAACAGGGGCAGAGTCATAATTGGCCTATTTAGAGTATTTTGCATGTGAATAGTGTGTTAGTGAAGCATTACTAAGTCTGTTGTGAGTGACATGGTGATTAGAATTTAGATTAGGGAAAACACATTCTGTACTTTATCAAGTACAGTAATTAGTTCAGTCAGTAAAAGTTGATTACAAGTAACGATAAAGTTAGAATTTTGGTACTTAATTTTAAAATTTCTTTATTAAATAGTAAATTTGTTCTTAATATAAATGGTAGTATCTACACCTGTTTTATTGCATATCAGAATAATTAAAAGAACAATGTGTTCAATGCAGAGTATAATCAGGGGATTTATGTATTATGGGTAAGTTTCAATGTAGTTTATAGAACATTTAATATTATACAGTATTTCTCATGTCATAGCATCATAAGGTTTAATAATCTGTTACATTGTAATTAGTTAAAGTGATCTATGAAAGTTTCTTAGTGTCCAGGTAAATTTTGTTTCTGTGGGTATTTATCTCTTGAGTTGACAAGAATCCTCAGGAGGGTATTCCATTTTGTTTCTATTTAGGCAAAATTGTCTAAAATTTTTGTAAATTCAGATATTTATAATTTATAAAAGCAATTCAAGTTTATGTAGTATTTGCATTTTATGCCATGTTTCTTAAAAGTTATTCATTGAAAAAATTTGTTATATGCAGATAGACTTCTAAAAACAATAGAGCTACTTTTAAACACATATTGATACATAAACTACATGATGGAGTTTTCCTATGTCTGAAAAATTCAGATTCATTTTTGGTTTCTACAAAAGACACGAACAATATGCAGACAAAATTTCTAAATCTGGTTAAATGAAAATTGATCTTATGTAAATGACATTTTATTATAGTGGTAATGAAGAATACTAAAGTCATTGTGATTTTTTTAAAGGATTTTAAAAGAATTACCTTCTACCTTACTTCCCAATATAAGGAATCTAAAGTCCTTTGTGATGGCTGCTTTAGACAGATTTTTTTTTTTAATGCTTCAGTTTAGCAGATGCTGTTTTCTTTATTCCATGGGTTTAAGTGCTAACAATCAGTTCTGGGAGGGTGGGGGAAGTTGGGGGGGGCGGTAAGAGGGAAGAGAGAGTAAAGAAAGAAAAGAAAAACTTAACCATATATATATATATATATATATATATATATATATGTACATATATATATACACACATACACACATATATATATGCATGTATATATATGTATATATATATATATATATATATATATATATATATATATATATATGTATATGTATATATTCTTTCTTTCTTTTTATCCCTTTTAGCAAAGTCTCCTTGGAAGTGACATGGATATGGGCAATCCAGGAGCTCTCTCACCATCCAAACCTGGTTCCCAGTACTATCAATATTCTAGCAATAACCCCCGGAGGAGGCCTCTTCATAGTAGTGCCATGGGTGAGTTCTTCATATATTTGAATTCATGATTTTGGCTGATGGGTTTTTAGGAACATATGATAAAAGAAAAAAAACTGTAATATTTGTTGAAATGCTAACTCCTCTCCAAAAGGAGTTAGTATATAGATCTCTTCTGCATACCAGGCTGAGATGTCAGGAGATTTATTCTCCTTCATTAGCTTATTCCGTGTTTTTCTTTGGCTGAACAAACAAGGCCAGTTTTTAAAAAATTCATAGAGAAGACAACCTTCTAAATCAAACCATTAATAATTTGAACTCATTATTCTATCAAAATAGCAGGGATTTTTTGTTGTCGTTGTTTTGTTTTGCTTTGCTTTGTTTTTAGTTCCCCAACAGGATAGGAGTTAATAGAGTCTGTGGCATTTTACCAATATACTTTTTTTTAAAAATCCAGGCTAAAATGCTAACAGCAGCAACTAGGTGCTTTATGGTATAGCATATTTCATACAGGAAAAGCTTCTGTTGCTCACAAAGTCGTTCATCTTCTTGCAGAGGTACAAACAAAGAAAGTTCGAAAAGTTCCTCCGGGTTTGCCATCTTCAGTAAGTACTGTCTGTTTCTGAATTGGCTATTGCTTTTTTTTGTTTGTTTTATATTTTTATCAGAAGAAGATAGAAGTGAATTATATAGTGTGATCTCAAAGCAACATTTGTTCATAGAAAATATAGATGAAGTAGGAATAACCTGAAAATGCTGCCATTTTACCCAACGGTAAAGTGATTAATTGCCACTGTGGAAGAAGGGGTGGCCATGTGGATTTTTAGCAGGGAAAGCTGTGAAGAGAGCTTTTGAAAAGATGCCTAAAGTTTGAAGAGTTTTACCTGTTAACGTCTTTGGAGGGAATGAGCATTAGTTTCATGTATTGGTTAAATGCTTTGTCAGTATTATGATGATTTATGGATTTGCATGCTAAAGGAGATTTGTGAAGAGGATTTAGGAGAAATTTACATGGTTTTCAGCCCATAGTGCAGGGAAAACATCTCTATTTTCTACTGAGGGTGCTGAATGAAGTCTGTAAGGGTACTGCATCAATAGCTCTCTGGATATGTGATACCAGGTGACAACTAGAAGAATCCAGCTGTAACCAAAAGCATTCTGGGTTATTTTAATAGATGGAGCTATGTGCAATAGTTACTGAGAGTTTTCCTCCATCCCCAGCACCAAAGATATGATAGAAAAAGATAACCTAAATAGTTTTCTCCAGGCACAAAGCTAGAGGCTATTTTAACTAAATAAATTAGATGATTCTTATATTGAAATCTCTGATTTCATAGATTTTCAGCTAACTTATCTATGCATTTTATTTAGCCTTTTGTTTAGGAAGACTATTTCTAGTGATATTCTTCTGGGCAGAAAAATATGTTGATTTTTTTTCTTTTCTTAAAGACCTAATCTGGAACAAAAAGAAATTATTCTGACACATATTTTTAGCTTTTATTTAATTTAAAATCCTTTGAGGTACTGGCAACCTCTCAAAAATATCACATTAATAGAAACATACTCATGAGTAGTTATATTTCTAAGGTATATTAAAATATTTCAAAATATATCAGCAATTCTTATAGGAATGAGTTTTATTTAATTTTTAATAAATCAGAAGAATAATGGATTTTGCATGTTTATTGAGATCAGATAAACCCAAACACCTGTGCATTTCACTTAGTTTCAACAGTAAATTTATAAATTAATTCAATTGAAATGTGTAAGAGTATGTTTTATAATAGTTACATAATTTGATAATGTTGGAGAAATATTATGGGAAATTTGAATATATGGACCAATACACACATCATCAAAATAAAATGCTATCAGTTATGTTCTTCAAGGTCATTTTGGGCACCCAGAGTTATATCCTTCCTCCTTCCCACCAGAAAATGTCAACATAATGAATTTTTATTTTAAATGAACTTGTTTTTTTAAAATGGTCAGCTCCCTAAGCCCCAGATGTAGATTTAATTTGTATGAGTTTTTAACTTTCAGTAGTTTTCATAACATTTTCAAATGATACAGCTGTATATAATGTGAATATTTTTAAATACAAAAATTTTACCTTTGAATGATCTGAAATAATAAAGTAGTTTTTTGCTATAAAATCTCCAGTATTGCTACAAGGCACAAGTGCATAAAGATGCTGTGCCTAATTTTCTGTCATATATTAAAAATTAACTGTTAGATTTTTTTCTTGTGTTCAAAATTATGCAAATTTCTTTCTACTACATAAGTAGTGCATTTGTGTGGTATTAAGTCTGTTTTCTACTTGCTTAATCATTGTCAGACAACAATTTTCCATAATTTGTCATGAATTAAAAATATTTCCCTGTAGACAACTGACCATTTTAGGACAATTATACTGGTACTATTTTACCTTGCTCTACAGTGAGTTATTGTAGTGTTGTTGAAGTGTTGTGATATGTTCAGAAAATCTGAGTATCACCCTGTTCTAAACCAATATTGCCTAGTAATTAGAACTCAGTCATGGAATGTTCATCTTGGAATGTTCTACCCCTCTGCTGTGGTAGCATGTTCAGGAGACGTTCTTGTTGCAACATCCAACTCAGCTATACATCTGAAGGACTCTGATGAAACTTTTAAATAAATACAAGTTTTATGTGAGTGGGCAAATATTTACATGATAATTTTGCTTTTGGTGGTATAGGCTGGTTAAAGTTATTTTAGAATTTAAACATTTAAGTTATTGGTACTTGAAAGTGGTTGAGGGAAATTCAGTTTTAATAACAACTCAAATAAATTATTCATTTATATTAGTTTTATCATAGACAGATTATCACTTATAACTCAGAGCTCTTTCACAAGAACCACATACCTTAGATACTTAGCAAAATGTACTAATTCACCCGATGATAGATTACATTAGGAAATGAGAGTCTGATGCATTAGCCCAATAAGCCTTTATTTCTACATTAGCCAAATCAGTTCTATTTCAGCTCAAAGAAAACGATGGATATTTATTTGATAACATGAACCAGTATTTGTATAGTAGATAATGAAAGGTTGGGGACAATGAAAGGTTTCTTTTGGAGTGATTGTAGCTGGATAAAAACATTTACAATTTCTCTTAAGAACATATTTATAATGGTAAATAGTAATAAATCTGTCACAGTCTATTATGTTATCTCACTTGATTGGGGGGGGGAGTAAAACAGTCCACTTTTTTTTTCCTTTAAAAAAATTAAACTGTAAAAGTCCACTATCAGATTGTTATTCATTGTAGATTTTAGATACAGAATCAAGACGTTTAGAGGTAAGGTTGAAATTCCATCCAAAACCCCTCTGTACTTGGATTCCTATTTGAAAATATTGCAGTATCTATAGGAGAAAGAAAATATAGGCCTAATTCCACAGCATGCTGTAGGTCTGGTAAGATAAATGAATGTCTTTTATTTTTCATTGCAATCTGAGATCTCAAAGCCCTTTCTTAACTTGATTCATTTAGGTGATTGCTTAGTATCCATGTCGTAGCCTCCACTCCTACAGACAGGAAGGGGGGGGGGGATACTGATATCCACAGTACAGAATCCTACAGTTAAGATTAATGTAAAATTGCTCAGAAGCAAAGTCTGCAGGAAATACCACCTTATTTTCTCAGGAGGTCCTCGTTCAATATTTCAGAACAGTTTTCAAGTTTTTCATTTCAGTCTTTGTGAACTTTCTTTTAAAGAGCTGCTTAATTTATCAGTTTTTTTTTAAAATAACTAATTTGTTAGATTTATTATTTTTGTTTTTTGACCACAGGTTTATTTTCTGAGTCAAATCTTAGCATGTGACAGTGTTGTAATTTTCATCAAGCAGGTCCACAGTTCGAGTTTTCACACATCCTTCATCTTGAACCAAAAACTTAGTGAACTTGTTGCCCTTTCCACTCATTTATCTTTGTATTACTAAATGAATTTTTTAAAATAAGTTGAATCCATCCAAATAAGAACTAGAGTTTAGAAGGAAATGTCTGTCATTAAACCAAATTTTACCTTTTTTAAAAAAAATCACATTTTGGTAAAAATCATTGCATTGTCATTGACTACTAGAGAAAATTAATGAGATTGTGTCATCCTTCAAAAAATAGCAAGGTACTTCCACATCTTTTCCACTTAAAATGCTTTCTTACTTCTTGAAAAATGATCCATTTAGCAACATAAAAAGTGCAATATAGGTGCTTCTAAAAATTTTATACCCCTACTTATAAATGAACATTTATTTTTCTGTCTCCTCACTTTAGTTTTGAAACTTGAAATAAATATATTGCACAGGTCTAAACTTGAGCTTCAACTATGCTACTTTCGGATGTTCAGTGCAATAGTCAGAAGTAATATTAATAGTTAATCAAGCTTTTTATTACTTTTTTCACCATTATGTCAATCTGCTGCCAAAAGAAAGTGATTGGTCTCATGGAACATAAATCCCTCTTCATAGAAACAAAGTTTAAGAAATATATCACTATCCCTTTTCTACACAAACTTTTAAAAAAGTATATCATCTGTATTTTTAAGGGTAATCCTATGTGTTGAAATTTTTTTTTCAGATAGGTTTTTTAAATGCTTTAAATATTCAGTTTGACAAATCACATATCAAATGGTCAGGGATATCTTTGATCACATAAAATCTAGCTAAAAATCTGTTTTACATTGAAGATGCCAAAATTTTATTTGACCACTGTAAGCTAACTATTTTAAGCCTCTAAATTAGTTGTTATCTGGATTTGAAGGGTAAAAATCTACTTTCTGTAAAATTTCAAATTCTTCTTTGATTGTGATAAGTAATTGTTTAAAAAAATTCTAAAGTATGTCACAGTTTTTTCCCATTGATTCTAATTCTTCTTCACAACATGATTAATGTGAAAATAGGTTTAATATGAATGCATATGTTGAGCCTATATCAATTTATACACCAAATTGGAATGGGTGAGATGGGGAGAAAATTCGCAACTCAAAATCTTATGAAACTGAATGTTGAAAACTAAAAAGTAAATAAAATTATTTTAAAATTTAAAAAATCTAAAGTCTGAATCAAATTAAAAAGAAAGATTGTCTAAGGCTTCAGGTCAAGACTAGCAGTGTTGGAAAGTATTAAAAGACCTCTGTAAAAATAAAATTCTGCAACTGATATAGTCAATTAAAGCAAAATAGATGTTAGAAAAAAACTTTTTCTCATCTCTAATTAAGAACTTCAAAATGATTAGGCAATTTCCAAATTCACCAGCCATAGTTGAAACTGTTGAGAAGAGAATATTCATCATTTAATAGACTTTTTCAATTTTTTAGGTTATTAACTTGAAGAGTGATACATAAATACACACATACCTTTAAAGCAAAACATGCAGTGTCACTAAATAGTGAAGATAGTATATCAGGTCTGTGTTGTGTAGTGAAGTAGGAAAGTAACCATTAGGAGTAAAAAGTGAACAAAAAGTAAAATCATATATACACACTACCAGAAAACTGTGACATTTTTATATCAAACCACTAATATTAGGTTAGCAGATTTTATTCACCTTTAGATAGACCATACCCATTTTCTGCTTCATAAT